CTTCTTATTTGCAACATAGTATATAGTTGCTTAGAGTTGCAACTGAGAGGCTGGCAAGTTAGGTGGGGAACGTTGGAGTCCGCAGTCACTGAAGCAAGCAAGCCTCCCTGTTTGCTTCAGTGCCTGGCTGCCGGCCTCCATCTTGGCTGACAGTTAATTTGCATATACTCACTGATTAGCCAATGAAAAGGGTAGCGGTCGTACGCCAATTACCATGTTTCTCTTTTATTAGTGTAGATGAGGTCTTAGAACAAATAATTTAACAAGGTTCATAGTGTGCTTTCAGCTGCCAATCAAAATGACTTAAACAATCAGTATAATTTATAATCTATAATGATAAAAGCGTAATATACTAAGTAGACTGGACATCCTTCAAGACAAAGCCAGGGCTGCAAGGGAAGCCCAGGTCCCAGGTGCCAAAGGGAAGCTGGTGCTGGCTGCCAGGGGAAGGAAGGTCTACTCTTGCATGAATTTCGTGCATCGGGCCTCTAATTTTACATGTCAAGAGATTCAGAGGCAAGGCAGCTCCTGTTCATTCAACAGTTCTAGGACTTCCTTCTTTTTGGTTCCATCAACATTGTGTTGGCTGCTCAATCTAATCTTGGGTGCTGGGAGTTCAGACAATAAACCCATCTTCAGATAAAGCCTTAAGGCTAGAAAAGGATGGAGTCAGGAAGAGTGCACCTTTTCCTCCTGTTCTTTTGTAAGAAACCTTTTCCAGAATTCTCTTTGTAGAGTCTTGGCCAGAGTTGAGTCACATGTTTATTCCTAAAACAATCACTAACCAAAGAGAATGAAATTACCATAATGAGCTTAGATTATTTGGGATATGCACACACACCCTGCTTCCAAGCCTTTCCTGAAGCTTTGGATCACCCAATACCTAACCAAAATTGCTTGTTTGGGAGAAGGGAAGAAAAAGGGGCATTATTATTGGGAAGGCAGTCAGTAATATCACAGGAAGGTGTCAGAACAAGTTAATGATAGGCCTGCAGTAGAATCCTGGTATCCTGATTCCCAATTTAATTCTCCCTTCATATAATCTACTTGCTTAATGAATGAATATCATCATATTGCTACTGTTTCTTAAAACTATTCATATCCACACAATTCTGACTCAAATACTTTTGCAAGGGGGGAAAGTGTAAAATTACATAACGATACATGTGATTTTAAATTGCTTTTTGTAAAGCATATTGAATTCCTCAAATAAAAAACAACTTGCTGTTCCTTACATGTATCTTGTTTCTACCTCTGGATTTGTTCCATTGCCTAGAAAACATATACACTATGCCCTTCTTTGGCTTATTGTTTTTAGTACTTATTCAGATTTCAAGTATCTCTGCCTTTCTGAAACCTTTCTTAACATATCAATGAAATTAGTTGTTTGTACCATTATGTACTCACTATATTGTGTTCTAGATTCTCCTACACATTTATAGTACTTAGTTTCTTTACAGGCTTAGTTTCTTTCTAGTCTAATAGTTTTCATTGTAGAGACTTTTTCTAATATTGGGTATGTAATAATTGTCACTAATAATTGTGTTTAATGAATCGATGAATCATATGACTAATTTATGACTTTGCCAGTGTTTTTGCTATTATGGATTCTGGTGCATGGAACACCCTTGTACATATGTCCTGTGCACTGACACTAGTATTTCTGAGGAGTTGATTCTTAGAAATGGAATAGTTATTTGATATGCACATTTATAAGTTTTTGTTAGGGGAGATATTTGTGTGGGGAGATATTTTATTTGTGTTCTATTTGATTTTGCCATTTTCAACCAGTAGAATATAAATGTGATTCTATAATCTCTTCATTTTGAAGGCTTTTTTCCCCAGAGAGGCAAAAGGGATTTTATTAGCATAATTTATTTCTGTGGACAAAATTTTCTTTAAAACTTAAAAAAATATTTTGAAGGAAAAGCATTTCATTTTATCTGTGTTACTGCTTATATAGCAACTTTAGCCCTTAGTTCTGTAGAGTTGTCATAGGAGGTAACCATTACAGAATTGTACCTAATGCAAATTAGATGCCAGTAATTATTTGTTTATATAGTAGATATGCTGTAAATCGAACTACTCAATTTACGATATAATTTTTTCTTTTTTCATTTTAGCATCTATGGCATTAACAGAAAACAGGACTATGTCAAGAACTCTGGGGGTATACTTGGTGAAAATGAATTAAGACCACCCTCCCAGCTACATTCTCTCTTAGAGAAGACCAGGACAGGGTTCATATCAGAAAACAGTGGGTATTAAACTAAATGCAATAAGTTATTACTAATAAATTCAAAGTAGACCAGTATAACTTTTTAAATTTTAATTTTAATCATATGAAAGAACTTTAAAAATTTATAATTTTCAATAACTACAAATTTCTTTAAATCATTAGTCCATAACTGATAAGTGATTGATTAAATTTTTAAATTGTAGGAAAATTGTCATACTCCTCATTTGTATTTTTTAATTATGATGTATTTTACTTGATTCTGAATTAAGATATCTTAGAAGTAATATATGCTTACATAGGAAAAAACTAAATTTGTAGAAGTATGTATAAAGTAAAAAATGTAAATTCCCATTTTAACCATTTCTCACTCTCAATAACCATTGGTTTAAACACTGTTAACAAATTGGTTTCCCATCTTTCTAGATTTTTATCTGTATACTTTCAAACACATAATTTGGAATGTTGTTTTGTTTTGTTTTTAATCAAAATGACATTATATAATGCATGTTATTTACTCCGTAGTATATAATAGATATCTTTATATGCCAGTATATGCAAGTTTATTTTACTTAGTGAATGCATTGTGTTTCCCTGTTGATGGCAATTTTATATTATCTCCGGTGTTTTTGCTATTATGGATTCTGGTGCATGAAACACCCTTGTACATATATACTGTGTACTTACTCTAGTGTTTCTGAGGAGTTGATTCTCATAAATGGAATGGTTATTCGATACGCACATTTTTAAGTTTTTGTTAGGTCCTACTAAATTGTGCTCTAAAAAGTTGTATTTATCTTAAACTGGCAATTCTTTAGTATATTAAAAGTAAAGGTAATACATTTAGAATTAGATGATTAAGGGGTAGGCTATTCCTTCAACAACTATCAAATGGCCTGCTTAGACTTAAAGTATATAGGCATAGATAGTATTAGGAGGTGTAGTTTGCAATCTGTCTATAGGGGATACTGATAAGGATCTTTAATGTCAGATATTATATCTGAGCATTTCTCTTATTGATAAGTGCTGTTGTTTAATGCACAGACAGGAGATGTGGTAATGAAAGTTCTGGGAAGACGTAGAAGTGGCTGATTTTTGTCAGAGTTTTGGGACACCTGAGTTGTTGGCATTAGTTCATCTCATTAATTGATGTCAGACCAGATGCTTATAGAATGAAAAATATACCTGTGATATACCATCAGAAATCGGTTTATCATTTTCAGATCCCTTTTATTAGAAGTTAAAAAAAAAAAAAAGTGCCCAAAACCAGATACTCAGTATCTCTAATGGATTTTGAGAAAGGGGAGATTAATGCAGGGTACTTTGAACAGATCCTACCTTGTGTCAAGCTTGAGTTAACATTTTAGATTGAATCCACAAATAGCAGAGTAATGTGTCCAAAGCCCATTGCAACAGGAAAGCATATTAACTCAATTTCCAGAGCCATTATGATTGAACTTAAATTTTCTCCATGTGCTCGCTATTGGTCGCTTAAGCCCTAGGGACACTTTTTCTACATTATAGGCAAGTACTTTTCAAGTTACTTTTTTAGATGTATTAGGTTTCTTTGTGCAGTAGTCCCCTCTTCATTCTCCTAATATTCTTACAACCTTGAATGTATAAATAATGTGTATTGCTTAGCAAAAAATGAGACCATTAATTTACCGCTTATAATGTTTTATATGTTAGATTCTTAAACGAAAGTATATTATGTAAGGAGAGATACTGTTAAATAATTCCTCAATAAAATTCTCAACTATCTTATATATAGAGTAGGAAACTCGTGCTTTCTTGAGTATAATTGAAGTAATTTATGAAGTCATGAAAGATTGAAGATTTACTGTGATTTTCAACACCATGGCTTTTGACATGCTTTCCCTTTTAACCATAAAAGAATTACTTTTGTATATATATTGCTGTTTGGAAGATGCTGACCTAAAGGGGAGCATTTTTAACTAAAAAGAAATAGTTTTAGAAATAAAAATATATAAGCACAAAGTAATTTATTTCCTACTTGTTTCTCCTTTTTTTGTATCTTTACATTTTTTGTTGTTGTTTTTACTTATTTTATTTTCTTTTTTATTTTAAATCATCTTTATTAATAGCTTTATTGGGAACAATACTCTGCTCACTGGTATAAAGTGTTCTCTGACTGCATGTATTTGGGAAACACTGTTAGGTGTGGTTTTTTTTCAATTGCACTGCTTTTACAGTTTTCGGTTTATTGTGTTTTAACACTCAAAAATAGGGATACAGTAGTATTCAGTACTTATGAAACTTAAAACGTGCCTATTTATTAACATCTTGTAGAATTTAGAGAAATTGATAGTCATAGAAAGTTCATTTTCAAAGCATTGATAACTTTTGTTTCTGTCACTGGAAGCAATATATTCTCTAATATTGAGCCTCAAAGTAGTTACATTTTTTATATTATATTGCTTTTTTAAAATATTCAATACAGGTTTCCAAATTTATAATTTTTAAACGAATTCTGGTTTATATTTAAGCTTTTGTAAGATGAATTTGCAAATGCATAGACCTCCTAGTTTAAGTAATACAGCTTTAGAAAGCCATAATTTTTATTATCATGGGTGTTTTACTATTTTAATCTCTTTAGAATATCTTTATTTTGTATAGCACTATTATACTGATAGTGAAGGAGAAAGTGAAACTGAGAAAAAGTAAAACAGAATTGATATGGATCAGATATACCACTTCAGAATATTCTTAAGTGTTTCATCCTCTCTTCTTTCCTTCCTTGCTGTTTACAATCTTTCATTGTTTGTACTAGGAAGTTTTGTTTATAAAGCATTTTAAGCTAACTTTATAATTGAAGTGCTAGGACAGTTTAGTCCAAATTAATTTCACTGAAATGTTTGTTTTCATTTCTGTGATAGTCTAGTTTCTTTTTTTCTTACTTGTTGTTAATAATTTAATTTTAAATAATATTCTTTTGCCCTAGCTGGCTTAGCTCAGTGGATAGAGTGTCAGCCTGTGGACTGAAGGGTCGCGTGTTTGATTCCAGTCAAGGGCATATGCCTGGGTTGTGGGCTCGATCTCCAGTGGGGGCATGCTGGAGGCAGCCGATCAATGGTTCTCGCTCATCATTAATGTTTCTATCGCTCTCTCCCTCTCCTTTCCTCTCTGAAATCAGTAAAAACATATTTTTTAATAATAATAATAACAATATGCTTTTTTTCCTTTAACTTTTGAACTGTAACTTGCAGAGTTCTGGTAAAAGTAGGAAGCTGCATTAATGTATTTATTTGTACTATATGACTAAAACCTAACAGTGCCATATAAATTATTCCATGCTCTCTCTTATTTATAAATTATCAGTTTGTATACTCCTTCCCAGCCTTGTTAAAGAAAGTAGAGAAGATATAAATAGAAAGGAGTAAAAAAATCAAATGGTTAAATATTATGAGAAGTTATTAGGTTCAGTTCTTGCTAAAGACTTGTAAAATCAAAAGGCACAAAGGCTCACATCAAGGGAAATACTAGGTTGAGTCAGCAACTCTCAATTAGGAAACATGCCTCTCATGGGAAGGGCATATCAGAATATGGTGGATAGCACATGAATATGGTTTGAAAATAGCACTTTAAAAAAGTAATAAAGTTTTATTTTTGTAAAATGAAAAAATGATTTTATAATACAAACCATAAGCTGTTCAATAGACATATCTCAGCTTGTGAGGAAACCCCAAAGATACAATGATTTCTAATGTGTTTGCTGAGTGTGCAATAGTAGGCTCCTTAAAAAGAGCCCAACAGATGTACGTGGGGATTTGATGAGAAGACAGAAAGGGTAAATTTATCAAAATAATGACATAGGTTTAAAAAATCATAAAGATGTGAAACATTGGTCTGAGTGATTGCTGACCACCAACTTAACAGTACGTTATAACATCCAGCCTAAACCACAGCCATAAGGGATCTGGCAGGGTACATTTTACTCTTGTATTGAAAATAATTCACCCTAAATTGTAATTCATTTAGATTATTTTCTTCATGTGAGAGGTCTTTTAAATTAAGATATGATCGCCAAAACACATGGTAAAAGTCTCAGTTATATAGGAAGGAAATAGATAAAGTATTTAGTGTATCACTTTTAATCCCTTCCTTTGGTTATCTTAAACAGTTGCATTATTTTTGTTTGTGTTTTACAGTTTTTGAGACAGTGTCCTTGAGTTCAGACTCTCTCTTCCAGAGGGCAGTTTCAATTCTCCATACTTCTTACTTGGACTCTGCATCTGAGCATGGTTTTCAATACAGTCAAGTGACTTTGGTGAAAAATGACATTTTCTTAAATGAGGTGAGGTGCTTGGTACACACTGTGTCTGTGTGTTAGTTTTATTTTAGCTTTAAAGAACCATCATTTGGGGTATATAAGCCTAGTTCTTTTAAGCTCTTTTCAAATTAGATAAAAGACTCTTGGAAACAGTCACTTGGAAGGTAATAATCTAAAGAATAGAAAAATAAATTTTATTAGTCTTTTAGCAGGAGCAATTCAGATGATACATTTTTTAAAATTAACTTGCAAGGCAAAATAACATGTTTATACCATTTGGTTATTCTCTCTTTATATAGTACAAAACTTTTTACCAAGAAAAAAAAGCGAGTAACTACACTCAGGAAGAACTTCAAGAAACTTACGGGTTTCTTCTGTTTGAAAGTGAAAATCAGGTAAGGGAATTAGGTAGTATAAAATTAAATTTGTGAATTAATGTACAAAATAAATTATTAAACTTAAGTATTGGCTTTTTACTTTAAGTAAGTATTATAAGATTAACAGTTCATCAGCCTTTTTTGTTACTTAGTTTGGTAGCAATGTAAATTACAGTGAAGCTAGTTATGAAAGAGATTTGATTTCTGCAACTTTTTATAGGTCTATTTTAGTTTTATCTTAAATACATTTGTAAACTGGTCAGATTTGGATTAATACAGGTTTCTTAGGTAACAGTAATGCCTTTTAATGGAATGAATGGCTATTTCTCCATTATGTATCATTGTTTACATAGATATTTTCTATTCTTTATGGAGGTTTTTCAGGTTTAAATGATATAGTTTTGGAGGTAAAATGGACACTTTCAGCATTCTAGTTAGTTGGAATTATTTCATTCCCATCTTTGAAGATTGAACATCCATATTGTTGCTTTTACCTGACTTGTGGGAGAAGGAAACTGTGTGCAGGGTATGTCCCAAAGATGTGTTTGGCACCTTGATATAATTTTAACATCATACAAAGGTGATGTTTTAGTAGGGTTAATGGTTTTTTTAAAAACAATGGTAGGTTTGCTTACAGAATGTTTAATATTAGTATATAATATAAAGATATTATAGTAATACCAGGATATTTTATTTAATCAACTACTTCCAAATAAGATGTGCTATGGATTCGTACTACAAAACACATTTGGGAGTAAAACATTTCCAAAGCTATATTTGAAAAAGAAAACTTTAAGAAAGGACTTACCTGTGATCTTGTTTAATTTGGTTTTGCTGGTGACATTTTTGTTAACAGAAATGGTGGCTTTCATGAAAAAATTTGAACTATTAACCAGATGCGGTAGCCTTACATAAACTTGCCTTGTGCCATAAATATGTATAGTGTAAAGATTTTATATTTATTTGAAAGCCTATAGATTACAGTGTTCATTCATTACCTCTCCCAAGACGAATGTGATAAGTGAAGTACTGTCTTTTGTTTAAAGGCAAAATTAGTATGTCGGCGTGGACTTTGTATTGGCAGCAGTGCTATTACCACTCTGGGTGACCCAGCAAAAGGTAAGAAAAAAGAATTTCTTCTTTTACAAAATGAAGTAGGGTATAGTTTATTTCATAAGATACCCACATTAAAAGCCAGTTTCATTAATGATAAATAATAATCTTTAGGATAGACTGTATCATATAAATGAGCTTTGAGCCTAAAGTTTTCCAATAGAAGTTACATGATCAGAATTTGTTTATAAAAGTTGGTTGGACTAGAAAAGATACTGAAAGTATCTTTTAGTGCCCAGAGATTATTATAGTCGTACAGATTAGTGAGGCTCTCTTCTATGCTATCATAATGGCAATAGGAATAGAGAATATATAGAACTAATTAAACTTGGCAACTATGGAATGTGAGGAGTAAGAGAAAGGAAATAAAGATTTAAACTTACACTACAGTGATATTACTGATAGAAAAGAGACACAGAAGGGGAGAAGATTGGTTGGAAGCTGATAAAAGAGGTAAATCGTATGATTGAGAATGTAAATTAGCACTAAATTTCTTTAAGTTTCAATTTTATCATATATAAGACTAGAGGCCTGGTGCACGACATTCGTGCACTGGGGGGGGGGGGTCCTGTGCCCTTTCACAGTCCAGAAGCCCTCAGGGGATGTCAGTTGGACATCCTTAGCGCTACTGCAGAGGGGGGAAAGGCTCACCATCACTGCACTCACCAGCCGTGAGCCTGGCTCCTGCATTGAGCGTCTGTCCCCTGATGGACAGTGCACATCATAGCAACCGGTCGTTCCCCCATTCGGTCAATTTGCATATTACCCTTTTATTATATAGGATAGGTAAAACTGTCTTCTAGATTTCTTGTGAAAATACATGAGATTCTGTAAAGTACTGAAAACAGCACAAACCTAATAAACTCTCAGTAATTGGACACTACTACTTTTATGAGTTGAATTTGAAAAATAATGATATTTTTATAAGCATTTCTGGAAGATATCGTAGTGGTGGTAAGAATAATTGGAAAAGGAATTAGAAATGGAGATTTCAGGTCAAGGTGGTGGGGGTTGGTGTTAGTTGAAGCCAAACATAATGTTACATAGAACAATATAGAAGGAAAAAATGGCAAAGAACAGAACTTTTGAATCGAATGGGACTGAGGGAAGGGGAGGATGGGGAAGGTGTAGAAGGAGGAGCAGTCAAGAACAGTATAATGGATGAAGAATCAGAAGGTAGAGTTTTACAGAAAACAGAATGATCTAAGTGGGGGGATATATAGCTGTATCAGGTGCTACAGAATCCAGACTGAGAAAGATGATTGGGCTTCATGGCTAGATTCCTGCTGATTTTTTTTTTAAAAATATCTTTTTTGAGATAAAATTAACATACCAGATAATACATCCATTTAAAATGTACGATTCCATGTTTTTTAGTGCAGCCAACAGCACAATTTTAGACTGTTTTTATCACCCTAAAAAGAAGTCCTGCACCTGTTAGCTACCGTTAGTCCAGGTAGTCTCTAATCTACTTCTTGCCTAGTGAATTTGCCTATTCCAGATAGTGTATATAAATGGAGTCATATATGATCTTTTGAGACTTTTTTTCTTTTACTTAGCTTAGTGTCCTTTGGGGTTCATCCATGTTGTACATGTACCAGTACTTTATTCCCTTTTTGGCTGAATAATATTTCATTGTATGGTTATACCATGTTTTTTTAATCCATCAGTTGATGGACATTTGGTTGTTTCCACCTTTTGGCTATTATAAAAAGTTCTGTGTATATTCATGACAAGTTTTGTATAGGTGTGTGTTTTCATTTCTCAGTTATATACCTAGGAGTAAAATTGCTGGGTCATGTGGTAACTGTCTAAAACAAAATTTTTTAAAACTTACATTCAGCTCTTCTAAAAGACATGAAAGGGCATAAATTCATAACCCAGTGGCACTTTATGGTACATAAAACCTCTTTCTTCTTGCCTATTCTTTTTCACACACACCCCTCCTTCTTTCCTTTATGAAAAACTAGTGGCCCGATGCACGAAATTCGTGCACAGGGGGAGGGGGGTTTTCTCAGCCCAGCCTGCACCCTCTCCAATCTGGGGACCCCTTGGGGGATGTCCCACAGGGATCGGACCTAAACCAGCGGTCGGACATCTCTCTTGCAATCTGGGACTGCTGGCTTCTAACCGCTCACCTGCCTCCCTGCCCGATCACCCCTAACTGCCTTTGCCTGCCTGCCTGATCGCCCCTAGCTGCCTCTGCCTGCCTACCTGATTACCCCTAACTGCCCTCTCTTGCTGACCTGATCTCGCCCCCCAACTGACCTCCCCTGCCAGCCTGATCTCGCCCCCAACGCTCCTCCCTAACGGCCTGATCTCACCCCTAACTACCCTCCCCTGCTGGCCTGATCGCCCTTAACTGCCTCTGCCTGCCTCATTGCCCCTAACTGCCCTCCCCTGCCGGCCTGATCACCCCTAACTGCCTCTGCCTCAGCCCCGACCACCATGGCTTTGTCCGAAAGGAAGTCAGACGTCCGGAAGATGGCCAGTTGACCCAGTCTAATTAGCATATTACCCTTTTATTAGTATAGATAGATTATATAGGATAGGGTTGCTTAAATGGCGGGGGGAGCCTTTTTCAGCAGGAGGAGATGCTCTTGGCAAACAAAAACACATAATCCCTATATCTGGACTGATAGCCAGCCATATGCACTATACTGCCAAAGCGGTCATTAAAAACTTGAACCGCTTTCTTACACCTTACACCAAACAGCTGTTGCCCTTTAAATCCCTCCTCAGCCCCTACCTTAGGTTCTGCCTTTATAGTTCACCCAGATTTGGTTCTGATTGGTCCGTTTCTATGCCAGTCAGTGTCAAAAGCTCCGCCTCCTAGGCAGCCATTGGCTCCTGGTACTTCACCCAGATTTGGTTCTGATTGGTCGGTTTCTATGCCAGTCATTGTCTCTGGGCCTATCTCTGGACCTGATCAAAGAGGCGGAGCTGATCAGCAGCCCCACAGAGGCCTGGAGAGAAACAGAGGCGCAACTGCTGGTGAAGCCCAGAGAAAAAGAGAGGCAACGGCTGATTAACAGCTACAACTGAGGCTGCATATCAGACCCTGCCTCTCTCTCTGCAGGCCTCTCTCCGGGCCTAATCCATAGCCCCCTTGGCAGTCAGTGCTGGGTCGCTGCCCCAGCACCGGCTGCAGTCAGTGCTGGGTTGCCACGGCAACCCAGCTCTGACTTCTGGTGTTATGTCGAGCCTTTGGTCGTTAGGGACCCTGGCTCTTTATATATATAGACTAGAGGCCTGTTGCACGAAGAGATTTGTGCAATAGGCCTTCCCTTCTCCTGGCTGCGGGCACCGGTTTTCCTCCGGCACCCGGGACCCAGGTCTTCGCTCTGGCCAGAGCCGCCTTCCGTCTTCCGTCTTCTCGGCCTCGGCCAGAGCCACCTTCTGTCTTCCTTCTTCCATCATCGTGGCCCCGGCCGGAGCCACCTTCCGTCTTCCGTCTTCGCTCCTCCGGCTCACCTTCAGTCTTCGCTCCACCACTTGGAGCCTACGTATGCAAATTAACCGCCATCTTTGTTGGCAGTTAATTTGCATATCACACTGATTAGCCAATGGGAGGCGTAGTGAAGGTACAGTCAATTACCCTGTTTGTCTATTATTAGATAGGATGCTACCATAGAAGAGAGCATGGTATAATATACCCATCATGTATGTCTAACAGATGTTTTGCATCATTCCCTTCCTTTCCTAAAAAAAATTTTGGGTTTTTGTTGCTTGTTTTTTTGGTTTGTTTGTTTGTTTGGGTTTTTGGGTGTTTTTTTGTTTTGTTTTTTTTGGGTTTTTTTGCTGAAGAATTTGAAAGTAAATTACAAGTAAATACCTCAGCTTACATCACTAAAAAGTAAGGCCATTTTTCTACAATCCCATGGTTTTATTGATGATTTTTGAGAGGCTGGCTTCTAGGGTGGTTGAGTGGAAGCTGTAGATTCCTAACAAATACACATTCTTCTTAAACACATATACTGGTGCTAATAAAATTGCACCACTGCCTCTGTGTATTTTATAGTTTTGGGCTCAAGTTGAAGTGGGTTGTTCTGTGTGTAATAGTAATCTATACTAATAAAAGCCTAGGTGGTCCTCGTGCCCTCGCACAACGCCCTCACATTGTCACAAGATGGCTGCCATAGATGGCCGGCAGGGAAGGGCATTTGGGGGCAACCAGGCCAGGAGGGGAGGGCAGTTGGGGGCGATCAGGCCTGCAGGGGAGGGCAGTTGGGGGTGACCAGGCCACCAGGGGAGGGCAGTTGGGGGTGATCAGGCCTGCAGGGGAGGGCAGTTGGGGGTGATCGGGCTGGCAGGGGAGGCCAGTTTGTGGCAATTGGGCCGTCAGGGCAGCAGTTAGGAGTCAATCAGGCCAGCAGGGAGGCAATCAGGCAGGAGGCAGGTGAGCGGTTAGCAGCCAGCAGTCCCGGATTGTGAGGGGGATGTCCCCCGCGGTGTCCCAGATTGGAGAGGGTGCAGACCGGGCCACCAGGCCTCTAGTACTTTATATTAAAGTAGTGTTATATAATTTTAAGAGGCTGTTGTTCTTTCTCTTCTTGAGAACCCTGTGGTTTATGTATCTGTGTTCCGAGGCCACCTCCCTCTTCAGTAACATACTCCTCAGTCACATGGTTGTTATTAGTAAATGGAAAACTTGGAACTGGAACCTAAACTTCTGACCACTAGTTCGTTATTCTTTGATTATATCAAAGTGTTCTCACCATTGTCTTTTACATTTCAAGTGTGAGATCTACATTCAGGAATATCTCTGAAATCTGTCCTTTCCTCCTCCTCCTCACTGCTGCTCTGCTGCCTTGGGGGGATCCATCTCTCCTTTCTCAACTCCTATAATTGTTTTTCTTTTTGGTTTAGTTCTTGTCTCTCTCCTTTAGAGACTCAGATTTGATCAGTATCTATTGCCTACAAAATAAAGTCTAAGCTATTATACAAAAACTAGAGGCCCGTTGCAGGAAGATTCCTGCAAGAATAGGGCTTCCAGCGGCTGGAGC